GGGGTTGGGGGGGTAGGGGAAACAAATAGCTCCTTATTTTTTTTTTTCAAAACCCCTAGGGGCTGTTTGAGAAGCCCTTGCACATAGCATGTCAGCACTACCTCACTGTGAACGAGATAATGCTCATAACGGAGCCATGGCACGCCGAGTATATATGCTGCTGATTCACATTAAGGTCCGCGTTTCAGGAGTTATGGGACCACTGAGCACGCGAGTTTCTGGGCACTAGAAGGCCAACTCACCACGTGCTTGCTAGGGCTTCCCTCCACTACTCACGTGCAAAACTAGAATGAATCTTCTGCTAAAACATGGAATCATACCCCGCCATATGGTTTTTTTTTTTTATATAGTGTGGTCCGATGGACCACGGATCAGATATTAAACTGATCAGAACAGATACTACACTTGATCTTAGCCAAAAGGCAGGTATGAGTCCATGTTGTAGCAGAAGATTCATTCCTCTGTTTTTTTTTTTTCCCTTTTCCTTGGGGCAAGGCCCTTAGGGCCACTACGCACGTGCAAAACTAGAAAGAATCTTCTACTAAAACATGGAATCATACCCCGCCATATGCTTGTTTTTTTTTTTTTTTATAGTGTGGTCCGATGGACCACGGATCAGATATTAAGCTGATCAGAACAGATACTACACTTGATCTTAGCCAAAAGGCAGGTATGAGTCCATGTTCTAGCAGAAGATTCATTCCTCTGTTTTTTTTTTTTTCCTTTTCCTTGGGGCAAGGCCCTTAGGGCCACTGCTCGAGGGAAAAGGAAACAAAAAAAAAAAACAGAGGAATGAATCTTCTGCTAGAACATGGACTCATACGCTGCCAGATGTTTTGTCTTTTTTGCAAGTAGTGAAGGGTGGAGCAAGGCCCTTAGGGCCACTGCTCGTGGGAAAACGAAACAAAAGAAAGAGAGAGCTACGGTGGTAAGAGTTGTAACCTGTAACCCATAACTACTGAAAAGAGTGGAAAGCAGACCTGACCTCGGATCCAGAACATATATTGCTGGCCTGCTCCATTGCACCATTGCCACACGATATTTTCTGAACGTCTCGTCAGACGTTGGGATGTGTGCAGATGCACTGAGGTGTCCTTTGGGAAAAACACAATTTAACTAGGAATTTGTATGTCCAATTTTTTTTCATGTGCCCTTCGGGGCCTTCGATATTTTAGAAGGGAGGGGCACCATTGGCTACCTCAGCCAGCCCTTCCCATTTTTTTTTTAATCTCTGGGGTGTTGGTTATATAATATTTAGGGGTTCTGGACCCCGAAAAAAAAAAAAGAAGAGGCGGGGG